GCTTGTGCAATTTACCTGGCTGTCAGCATCTTTTTTATACTGGAACCCCAATGTCTCCCAACTAGAGCCAGGTGTGAAACAGTGGCTCATTGGGTGGCACCAGTTGCCAAATGAACCCCATGAACCACCCACTGGAATGACCTGGATATGCAAGGTCAAAGCCACATCTGGGTTACTATGGTCAAGGATTCTAACAATGTACAGTAGTTTAGAAAAAAAACTTACTGTGTTGTTACAATTGGGAGTTGGGAACTCCTGTCAGACATTGCAAATTGCCCTGTGCTTTTCTAATGCAGTGTTTCCCAACCGGTGTTCCGCGGCACACTAATGTGCCGCGAGACGTTGCCTGGTGTGCCGTGGGAGGGAGGCGGGCGAGGCGGGCGGCGAGAGGCGGGGCGGCGGCGGCGAGGAGAGGCCGCCCAGCGCGGGGCTCTCGCCGTCTGCCTGCCTGGCTGCCTGCGTGGCGCTGACGTCACAGGGCTGTAACACATTTTCCCGGGTGCATGCATGCGTTGCAAAACCCCAGCGCCTGCTGCTGCACCGTGCAGAGGAACCGCTCAAGCAGCAGAGAGAGAGGCTTGCAAATGGGAGACAGAAAATCGAACCTGCTCGCCATCTGCATTGCATCCGCCGACGGCGCAAGTTGCAGAGCGGAGTAGTATTTTGGGGGGTGGGTGGGGGTGTTTTTAGGGGCTCCGCACGTGAGAAAGTTCAGGCTGCGCTCCGTTTTGCGCGCTCCTTCGCCGGATCGAAGGCTTCGCCACGCGCTTTTCTTTGAACCGCTTTGATTATTGTTAGCGTTATTTTCGCTAGAGTTTAACCTGGGCTGGGATTCGGATTCGGGGCAGAGTGCAGCGGAAAGGAATGGGCAGGTGTGGAGTGGCAGGAGTGCCTCTGAGCACGTGCAGAGCGCCCTTCCTTCGCCGTTTGGATAGCGCGAAAGCCGGGTGGTAGCACAGCGTGCGGGGGGACTCGCCGAGCAAGCCGCTCAGTTTGGGGGCGGCTCGTGGGCTGGTGAAACAGGCTTCATGGGCCGCATCCTGCCTGTGGGCCCCACGTTGCCGGCCCCTGGCTTAGGACATGAAAAAAAATACATAGCTGCAACATAACAAAAGTAGTCATAAACAATGAATAACACATTAAAAAAAAATACACAGCCAATTTGAAGATTTTCCACATAAATCAAAATAGGATCTCAAATATAGGTACAAAAAAGCTGCCCGGTTCTGAGCCAGCTGCAGTTTCCAAAACGTACACTTTGAGCAATTACAAATTAAAAGACACAAGGGAGGCCGGGCTGAGAGGATTCCAACCCGCGTCCGCCCCCGCTGCTTCCCTCAAGTGGCGTCCTGGGCGAGGACAACATTTGACGGCCCCTCCCTCAAATATCCCTCATTTTCGCAATAATTCATTTTGGTACAGCTGCTTTTTCCAACGGATCTGTTCAGTGTTGTTATTTGCGCCCCTCTGCCGCCAGCAGCGTCCCAAATACAGTGCTGCTCCCCTCCTTAGGATGCCAAGCACTCTGAATTGGGAAGTGGCCCCCTTGGGAAGAGGGAGGCTTGCCTCCAAGTAAAGATGAATATGAAAGTACCTTGTTTTTAAGGGCCTGCGGTGGTGGTGGCTGTTTAACATCCAAGGCTCACAACACAAAAACACAAAACTACATTACATGGGACAGTGGTACCTCGGGTAACTGAGGCTTCAGGTTACAGACTCCACTAACCCAGAAATATTACCTTGGGTTAAGAACTTTGCTTCAGGATGAGAACAGAAATCGTGCTCCAGCATTCAATTTTTTTTATAATAATTAAAAAAGTTAACTACAGCTTTGAAACTTCCCAGGAGAGGCCGCCCAGCGCGGGGCTCTCGCCGTCTGCCTGCCTGGCTGCCTGCGAGCTTGGCGGGCAGCGCCTCCGTCCGCAGCGCCCGCCTCACGGCTCTCATTCCCTGCCCCTGCCAAAGCTCACCCAGCCAAGCCGCGCTCTCCTTCCTGCCTCGCTTTGCTGCCTCCTCCCCCCCCAGCCCCAACGCTTGGAGGTTCCCCGGCGCCGGCCCACAGGTTTGACCCCCTTCTCACACCTGTTCGCGCTCCTTGCACGGAATGGGGCGGATGGGGAGGAACGGGGCTCGCCGCTGCCTCCGCTCGCCCTCCCCCCCTCCGCCGGCGGTCCCGCGATTCTTGGCTTTTTGGCGGTTGGCACAGAAGGAAGGCAAGGGGGGGGGAATTGAAACTTACACTTTCGTGCGTCCCTCCCGGCGTGACGCTGCGCGCTGACGTCACGGGGCTGTGGTGTGCCTCGAGATTTTTTTCATGAAACAAGTGTGCCTTTGCCCAAAAAAGGTTGGGAAACACTGTTCTAATGCATCCTAATCTACCTTCACCTGACCCCTACTTTAATCTAGCCATGTTCTCTTAAGTTAGAAAGCTGCTGCTATTATTATTATTATTATTATTATTATTATTATTATTATTATTATTACTACTACAGTGGGTATATCTGCCTGACCAAGAACAAAGATCGCAGCTAATTCTCCCACCCCCTGTTCATGTTGACTACCGAGCTGCCTGCTTCTGCCACAGAAATCTCATTGAAATCGGTTATGTCTGCTCTGTGTGTTTGTCAAGTAAGTCTTATTATCCAATTGGTTTCTCCAGGTTTTGATTGATTTCTGTAGCCTTCCTTAACCAGTCTACAGACTGTCTGAATGTATCTGTTGTTGTTCTTTTGTCCACACAGTATTCTGCAGCTTCAGTCCAATTTGCACCACTTGTGAGTAAGTGACCTTGATATATATTTATATATATATATATTTAAAATAAAACATGTCCAGGTAGGGCTGCATTTGTTCTGCATTCTCTGCATATAAAAAGTTTCTGGCCCTCATTCTTGCAGAGAGAGGGTTTCAGACATGTGTTCATCATGTTTATGGGAACTGGAACTGGGCATAGTTTTCAGTAGTTTGTGGACAGGAATTTGACCCCTTCCCCTTCTTAGCTGCATGGCCCTACTAGACATGTTGAAGATTCAGCACAAACAACAGGTACCTGTTCACACAATATGCATGTGGAATTTGCTCCCACAATAAGTGATGATGGCCACCAGCTGGGACAACCTTAAAATAGTAGACAAATTATGGCGGATGTGGCTACCAATGGCTGTTGGCCACAATGGCCACGTTCTGCCTCCACTGTCCGAGGTAGTTTGCCTCTGGACACAGGCCCCTGGGAACTGTGGATGAGGTGAGTGCTGTTGCACCCGGGTTCTCCTTGTGGGCTTCCCATAGGCACCTGGAGCAAGGCGGGAGCAGTTAGGTAACAAAAGCAACATCAGGTGAAACAAGTCACTGTTACTTTGCCTGATCACAAGACTGATCCTGGATTGTTCAACACATCTTAGATAAAACAAACAATGGCTTAATGTTATGTGTGAACACATCCACAGGTGCAGCTTCTAGCAACCCAGCCAGGATTATTATTTTTTTTGTCATTCCAGGACTGCATTCAAGATTTCCCTGCCAGCTGTCATGAAGTCTAAGAAAAAGAAATTGAAATTGGCTGTCTAACAGCATTGTTGGTGTATGTTGATTTCCATGTGAATTTCACATTGTAGCTGTTAAGCTACCGATGACGGTTATGGGACACTGGAAAAGAGGGACCTGTATGATAATCTCTGGGGCTAAACATTTTGGAACAGCCACATAAGTTGGATGCAACTAGTCTGTTCAGTGGCCCATGTTGACACTTAAAACTTGTGCTATATTACAAAGTCAGGATGGTTAATCTGTAACTGCCTTGGACCAACGGCTTGAGCTAGTGCAGCTGCAAAGCCAGAAATGCGTAAACCCAAGAGTGATGCTTCTCTAATATAGCGTCCTTGGACCAACTGCTCCGTTTGGAACAAATCAAATCAATTTAAGCCGTGACGCTTCCTTTAAAACGAAAGCCCCAATTATTTAAATAGAAATCTAATATTTGCCTTAGTAACTGAAATTTTGGGGCTCCTGGGCTGGTCCTGTAGAGCTCCTTTCAAATTAGTAGAAAGAACTGCCCGATTTAAAGAGTGCAGAAGCCTTGGACTCTAGACTGCTCTGTATGGTTTTCAGTATGGTTAACAATGCATCTTAGGTATTTGTCCACCCTCACCACACTTTTTAATAGTTGTCACTACATCTGCTTTTAAACAGAGCCAGCTCAGCCAAAAATTAAGCTGGAACAAGCAGATTAACCTATCACAGTTAAATGCCACTATTGAAAGCAGACCAACAGCTGCTTGGCAATTTCAGTAATGAAACTGAGTCACATGCTTCCATGCCGTGAATTATCCCTGTTTCCTAACAGAATGAAGGAATTCTGACAAAGGCGGCTGCTGCTCAGGCTGCGTTTGCTCTGCTTTGAGAACCAGGAAAGGTTTGGTCTTCCACACTGCAGTACCAAGTGGCTTATCCTGTCTCATGTTTGACCAGCCGCAAGGAAAGATTGAATAGTGTGCTGAGGCACAACCTTTTCTCCTTTTCTGTACTTCTGGCAGAAAGCCTCTGCCATGCAATTTTATTTCCTTGAATGTTGGACATGGTTTCAGCACAGCCAAAACACACTTTCTTCCATCCTTCCACAAACAGTTGTCTCTGTGTGCTTTACTTCCTGAGACCAAATTTAAAGATTTGTGTTACATTTGGCAGTCTATCAGGAACCAGTGCTTTCTAGAGACGCTATAATTTGACAGGCCTGTATATTATACTGAATCTTTGCCATCTCAATGCTGTTTTGTTTTACAAATGTTTTGTACCTTTTCCTTAATAAACTGCTTCTAAGAACACAGGATTCGGGTGTTTTCCCTGTAACAGCCTATAATTTATTTGAAGAGCTTTGCTGTAGGCAAGACCCTTTACAGGAACCACCATTGGTGGACAGACATAAAACCAGGCTCATTTAGAAGGGGCCTATGCAGGATATCTACACAAGAAACAGGTAGGAATTGAGCAAGTGCACAGTCCTCTGGCCCACTAAACTGCGTAGTTACTTTATTTAGTTAAAAATGCATGTCACACTTTTCTTTAATTACAAAAACCCTCAAAGCAGCTTACAAAGAAGTTCATAAAATGACTTAACCTGCAATTTTTAAAAGTTCAAATTAAGAACGGTTCAGTTACCTGAACAGCAGAATCAGGAGCAGGACAAAACAGTCAAATGTAACCTGCATTGAAAGGTGCCTGAAGCAAGAAATACAGGGGGTGGGAGATGGAGCCACAAGTCACAAGCCTCCGTAGAAAAGGACCCATCTCATGTTCCAACCAGCTGAGGTTTTGAAAGCAGGAGGGTGCATAGCAGGGCCTTCGACTTTGGATGCAGGACAATCTGGGAGCAGGTAGTCCTTCAAGTGTCCTGGTCCCAAACTGCTTGGGCTTTATAGGTAAGAACAGGCACACTGAATTTCATCCAGAAATTAACTTGAAGTCGATGCAAACGAAATAAAACTGGAGGCTAATTGTTCACAGAGCAGCCTCCCAAAATCAGTCCAGCTGCTGCAGACTGTGTAATGAGTGGGTAACGTACAAATGATATATTGGCTTGGAAAATTAGCTGCTTTTCCGATTTTGCAGGAAAGCGATTTGCCTCTTGTAATAGCCATTGCTTTGAATTGGGTCCAAAAATGCACCAGAAGTCACTGCACAATGGAGTTGCATGCTCAGAAAATCAACCGTGGCCTAGATCCTGACATCAGCAGCTGACATTTATAAGATTCCTATGTCTGCGTTAGTAGTTTATGACATTAATTGCCTGAAGAGAAGTCTGGGGAACTAAATTACTTTCAATATACAGAATTCTGCCTGATCCACCTGCTGGCAGTTGCTGCCACTCATTTGCAACCGGGTTAGTAGCTGTTTACAAGCCTACATTAATCAGTCCTAGAGAAGTCTTCTCTGTTCACATATCTCCTCAAATGTGCACGTGAACAAATTTATACACAAAACTGCAATCTTGTACATGTCTACAAAAATAAGTCCCATTGAGTTCAGTAGAGATTACACCAGGTTTAAGTGTGGATTGCAGCAGGATTGCAGCCTAGCCCATCTTTCGAGTGGGACTGAGTGGAGACTGCCTACGGTTCCCTTTCACTTTTTTAAAAACAACACTCCTTGTTGATAATTCCGTGAAAGTTCACGGACGGCATCGTGACCACTAAGAGGCAGCTAACTTCCACTTCTTGTTCATTCCTTCTTGCTATCTAGGCATTTGTATATATTCTCTACCAGCACAGAGCCTGGGAAATAAAGATTGGGTGCCTGTGGGTGGAAAACACAGAAGAGCCAGTTCAGACATTCAGGCTTGTACAGAACTCTCAGATCACTTTTGAATCCTGCCTTTCTTCCAGAGAACTGGGGCTGATTTTATGTTGCAGGACTGCGGAACTGGATCTGACAAGGAAGGCCAGATCCTTGTCTCTGCCCTTACCTGGGAAAAAATCCCACTGAACGCAACTTCGGAGTAGACATCCATGGGATCATGCTGCTATTGCTGCTATTAAATCTTGACAATAATGTGAGTTAGGTTAAGCAAGGACAGATGTTGCTGAACTACAATTCACAGCAGTCCCAGTAAGGTTCTCCATGCCTGGCCTGGAACGTTGCATTTTTAAGATCCAGTTCTCCCTGGGTGTCAAGCTTACTTTGCAAAACTTTTGGAGTGTGAGTTGCAGGAACCTATCGTCCAATGGCTGAAAAGAAGCCAGGGCCTGATCGGGGGTGTGGGTTGCTGCCATGCCTCTTCCAGCTGCTCTTGCTTGAAGCCAGAGAAGAAAACTGGACACTGGAGAATGTCCTCTGGGAACCTCTTTCCATGGTCATGGATGACCCTGTCCTGATGATGACCCCTGGGCTCAGTTTCTTCCTCATGAGCAGAGTGAACTGTTTTTTCTCCTCGTCCAGTTGTCGCAGCCTGCTCAGCTTCTGCTGTTCCAGTTTCTTTATAGTCTGGAAACGAACAATGAAACAATCAAATTTAATAAATGTTAAGTTGTGGGTGAACATATCAGACGACAGCGATTCTTCAAACAGCTCTTGTTTATTCAGAGGCCAGAACTGAACTGAACTGAAGGGCTCAGTCAGCCTGCTTATATAGAGCTCAAGTACAATGTTACTGTAGCAACTTTCTAAAACTATCCAACCACTGAACGTCACGTTCGATCCTTCATTTGCATAACTATCTACAGTATCCCCCTGCTGGCCCAGGGTGAGAACTTCAGTACATAACAATAAACAACAACAATAACATCTGTTGAGGGTGAGGGAAAGCAATGAAACTGGTCACCTTACCATTGCTAGGTCTTTCTGCTCCTTGAGAAACTTATTCTTAACCTGCTGGGGTGCTGTCAGCAAGTCTGAAAGGCAGAGTGAATAGAAAGGGTCATTCTTATATAGGAACGCCAGGCAGATCCTTGGATCAGCATCCATGGCTGTTTCTTTGATTTCTGTCTTTTGAAAGTGGTTGGGGAAACAAATCTCTCTCTCTCTCTCTCTCTCCTCTTCTGGGATTACTGGGCCCTTGGCAGACGTGCAGAAGAGACCTTGCTCTCAGATGGAGTGGGAGGTGGATGACAAGGATATCCTGGTTCACTGGTTGTAGCTGGCTGGATATATATCCCCACCAGCCATGCACAACACCAGCTGCTAAACATTCACCCGGTCTTTGAGGGAGGTCAGGCAATTGAAGCTTAACCTTTCCGTACAAAGCTCTGGTTATGTCAAGCTTCTCTTCAGTGTCTCTTTTCCCAACCTTGCTTTAAAAAAAATATTATAGACAGAAAACACTTTCCAGTGCTGTCTTGAGTTGGCTATATCAATTGCAGGCATAAAGTATATTTTGGCTGTTTTGCTTCTGCTGTTCAGTTAGGAGAGATATGCTATTAATATGTTTTTTAAAAAATTGAATGGGACTGAACTGTTTAAGACAAACCAGCACTATAGCTTTATATCACAGTTGAAGCACATTATTTTCTTCAAAGAATTATGGGCACTGTAATTTGTTTAGGGTTTTCTTCTTCTTCTTCTTTTTCTTATTTGTACCCCGCCCATCTGGCTGGGTTTCCCCAGCCACTCTGGGCGGCTTCCATAGAAACCAAAAAACACTAAATATCATACATTAAAAACTTCCCTGAACAGGGTTTGTGTTGGTTAAAAGAATGGATTACGTTGGATAATGCAGACATCCTGGGCTTAGAAGGTCATGATTTAAAATTCAGCTGGCATGCATGTTTATGGTATGGGAAGGCGAAAATTTACAAAAGTTTTACAAACCATTTTCTAAGGAAGAATTTGTATAGAGTTTGGGAGAAATATAAAAGTCTGCTGGAAAGGAAAACACCTTTATGGCTGTCTTCTATTGAGGCTATTACAATAAAGAGAGTTAATATGGATAGACAGTGGGCAACTTGCAGGGAATTGCTATACAGTGGTAAGAACTTAATTCGTTCTGGAGGTCCGTTCTTAACGTGAAACTGTTCTTAACCTGAGGTACCACTTTAGCTAATGGGGCCTCCCGCTGCCGCACAATTTCTGTTCTCATCCTGAAGCAAAGTTCTTAACCCGAGGTACTATTTCTGGGTTAGGGAGTCTGTAACCTGAAGCATATGTAACCTGAAGTGTCTGTAACCCGAGGTACCACTGTACTTTACAGAGGGGGAACCCAAACTGAAATCAATAGAAAGTGTAAGGAGCCATGTTACAGACTGGCTACATTCAATATCATCGGTTATATGAAATGTTTAAAAAAACAGGAAAATTTGTTTTTTGGACCAAAGCTCACAATTTGAAAAACAACTCCTGCAAAATAAAGAAAAACTTTTATCTAAAATGTACAATTTGTTATTAGAGTGGGAAACAAAAGACGAGCTTGTCAAAGCCTCTGTGACACACTGGGCAATAGATATAGGACACAATATAGATTTTAATCTTTGGGGGAAACTTTGGAGGAGTGATCTGAAATTTACAGCATGTTATTCCTTGAAGGAGAATTACCTGAAAATGATTTACAGATGGTCTCTAAATCCTAGTAGACTTGCTAAGATCTATAAGACTGAATCAGATAAGTGTTGGAGATGTAATGAGACTGAGGGTACGTTCTGTCATAAGTGGTAGACCTGTAAAAGGGTAAAAGAGTATTGGGAAATAATTCATAATGAACTGAAAAAAATGTTTAAAAGTACTTCTCCCCCCCCAAAAAAAATCAGAGTCCTTTTTGTTGGGGATAACTCAGATGGAAATTCCCAGGTGTCTGAAAAGGTTATTTATGTATGTCACTACTGCGGCTTGTGTTTTGCTAGCCCCAAAATGGAAAACGAGTGAAGCCCTGACTAAAGAAGATTGGCAACTTAAACTGATGGAATATGTGCAGCTTGCAGATCTAACATATAGAATAAGAGAGCAAGAAGATTGGAACATGTTTATTGAATATATGGAGGAAAATTGTGTTTATTTGTACAAAGACCTATTAGAGAATAAGACCCCAAGGTGGCTGTCACCAATGGAAGCTAAGGCCCAGAAAAGACTCAATATGGAGGCCAAATGGCCGAAATATTGGGAAATATTAGAAAAGGATGGAGATTCTTGGAAGTTGCAGAGTTTGGAAAAACTAAAAGATAAAGTGAGAGATTGGCTACACTATGCTCAGATTAAAGAGGTTTTTAACTTGGACAAAAAGATAGGATTCCAGGTGGAAAAGTCAAAGCTAGAAACAGAACTGTTAGAACCTAAAACTAAGGTTCTTTCAAAAATGTACAACTTGCTGCTAAAATGGAATACACAAGATGAAACGGTCAAATCAGCTATGATAAAATGGGCACAGGACATTGGGTATAATATTATGTTTGCTGACTGGGAAAGGTTATGGACCATCGGTGTGAAGTTCACGGCATGTAATGCCTTAAAAGAAAATATTATGAAAATGATATACAGGTGGTACATGACCCCAGTCAAGCTTGCAAAAATATACCATTTGCCTGATAACAAATGTTGGAAATGTAAAGAAACTGAAGGAACGTTCTTTTGTGGCATCTGAATATAGACTGCATTTTTAATCAAGACTTATATTGGCTTATATTTTGATCAGGTTCCTAAAATTCTAAAAATAATGTTTCTTCCAAGGTAGAAAACCAGCAAGCGGCTCCAGCAAGCAGCTGGCAAGCAAAGGGCCCCCTGGTTTATTGCGGTCATAAAAAGGCTGAGAAGCAGGTCACTGACCTTGCATGCTGTAGAGTACAACTAAGTTGTAAAAGTGGTAGGTAAACAGTAAAATAAAACCATGGGCCTCTCTTAAACTTGAGCCACAGGACAAAAGGCCAAGGGCACACGGAAAACAAGCAACTGGCTGGAGAAGGGGGGGGGGAGTGTGAACAGGGGCTGTAAACTGTTCCTTCCTTTCACTTTGAGGAAATTTATCCTTCTAAAAAGCTATCTATGATAATGTATGAAATATATTGGTTTAAATGTAACTATGCAAAGGATTTAGAAAGTAACAAATTTAGATGTTAGATTCTTATTTCATAGAATCATAGAGTCCTAGAGTTGGAATAGACCACAGGGGCCATTGAGTCCAGCCCCCTGCCAGAAATGAGACGCCAATCGAGCACTCCTGATATATAAGTTGTCAGACATTTGTTTAGAAACCTTCAAATGAAGGAGATCTTTCAATATTGATGTGAAACTCAAGATCCTTGACATATGTTTAAGATAAAAATTTAAGATTAACCATTTGTTTTAGAAGGCAATAGGGCAAGGAGGGCAAGAGGTGAGCTGGTAATTAAGATTCCATGTAAGATATATTATTACTTATTTGTCATTTATATATAGCTCTTTGTCTCCCTTATAAGGATAGGAGGATATGAGTGTATTTTTGTGATTGGTTATACCAATCAGCCAATAGGAATTTCAACCAGGCTGATGGGACAGAGGCAGCCACAGGAGGAGCAAAGGGGGCTGGATTAAGGGAATATAAGTGCTGGCCATAATGGCAGGAGGCCAGGCCAGAGCTTGGTAATCATATACCACTGTGCCTCTCATTTATTTGTCTGACAAATAAATAATTATTTAATTTCTCTATTGCTGCGTTGAATATGTCATTCCAGCTAAGCGTTAACCACAAGCAGGGTGCTACACTTTCACCTCTGGTGGACTTGCCCTAAGGTTAAGGCTTTCTGGGAAATGATATATAATGAGCTGAAAAAGGTATTTAAGTATACCTTTCCTAAGAAACCAGAGGCCTTGCTTTTGGGCATTGTCGGCCAGAGGGTGTTAAAGAAGGATTGTACATTTTTTATGTATGCAACAACAGCAGCAAGGATACTTATAGCTAAACATTGGAAAACTCAAGACTTGCCCACGCTGGAAGAATGGCAGATGCAACTGATAGACTATATGGAATTAGCTGAAATGACTGGCAGAATCCGCGACCTGGGAGAAGAAGCAGTGGAAGAGGACTGGAAGAAATTCAAGGACTACTTACAAAAACATTGTAAATTGTATGAATGTTAAGATGATGCAAGAGTAAAAATAAATGTGGCATCAGTAAGTCAGTTGTTAAGAATTTGAGAATAGGTGAAATTTGAGAAAAAGTTAATTTTTTGGTTAATATTATGCTTAATTAAGTATTCAAGCTTTTGGAAAATAAACTTAAATCTAGAGACATAATATGGGAAAAATACAAATAAGAAATTGAAACAAGGTGATAATTTGCTGTTTAGAATTCTATAAATTTGGAAAGCAGGAACAAAAGATGTGAGGAAGTCCAAAAAGTGAGGAAAGTATGAATATCAAGAATTTGGATTTGATGTTATATTTTTTCCTTTTTTGTATGTTTTCTTTTTTTCTTTTTTCTTTTTTGTTTGTTTATTGTATTGTTGGGGACGGGATTATATGTGTTGGGTGATAAATGTTTAAAACTTTGAATAAATATTTTAAAAAAAGAAAGAAAATTGTGTTTATTTGAAAACGTGGACAGCGTTAAGATAAATTCAACAGTGTAAATAAGTTTTGATGGATGTAATAATGGAATACTGAATAGTTTAGTTTATATAAAATATGCAGGTATTTATGTTGTGTAAAATGAAGCATGGAAAGAGAGGAAGGGAAGTCATTGATATTTTAAGGTTGTCTGTGAATATTCTAAGATGTAAAACAGAATAATAATGATAATGATAACGATAATAATTTCTTTAGGGTTGTAGCAAATTGTTTGAATCTACTTCTGGCAGTTCCTCAGTGACATCCTCTGCTCAGAAAAGGAGAAGGTGGACCTATCTTTAAAGAGAACAGTGAGGGGGGGGGGGAGGTGTATTTTTGTAAATATATGTTGTATGGAGTTGTGTGTGTGGCATCATTGCTGTCATGGTGACATTACAGAGGAATTTGTACTGTGCCTGGGGTCCTGATTATAAATCAACACCTGCATATTACAGACTCACAGGGTGTAAGCATTGCATGGGGTCACCACAGTGCCATGGTTGAACAGGTACAGACACATCTTGGTAAGAAATGAGGACTGTAAAGTGAGAAATCCATGGTTTCATTTTCTTCAGCTTTTCAGGGAAAGTAATCAGGTTCATTTACAGAATGAGGAGCTACAGTGTGGAATAATAATAATAATAATAATAATAATAATAATAATAATAATTGTTGTTGTTGTTGTTGTAGATTTAGGTGGAAAGGAGAAAAAGTACTGGGTGTTATCAGCATGCTAGTGAAATCAACACCAAAATTTCAGACCACATTTCCCAGCAGTTTGATGTAAATGTTATATAACATGGCAGACAGGACAGAACCTTGAGGGACCCCGCAGACCAATGGTCAAGGTGTCAAACGAGAGCCCCCCAGCACTACCTTCTGGGTGTGCCCACCAGAAAGGAATGGAGCCATGGTAAGACTGTTCTTCCAAGTCCCATCCCAGCAAGGTGGCCCAGAAGGACAGCCAACAGGGACACACACAGTCAGTCCAGTCCCCAGTGTAAGACATCTACCA